TATCATCAATATCACATACAAGTAAAATTTTGCATAATTCAAAAACAGCTACAATACTATATCAACAGCAAACTGCCAAAAATTCAAGCCGGATTCAGAAGAGGATGTGATCTAGGGATATCACTGCTGATGGATCTTAACAGAAAGAAAGCTGAGACTACCAGAGAGATGTTTGCTTGTGCTCTACTGACTATGCAAAGGCTTTCAACTGTGTGGATCATAACAAGCTATGGATAACACTGGGAGAATGAGTATTCCAGAACACTTAATTGTGCTCATGAGGAAGTTGTACATAGGCCAAGAGGGAGTCACTGGAACAGAACAAGGGGATACCGAATGGTTTAAAACTAGAAAAGGTGTGCGCCAGGGCTGTATTTTTCCGCCATAGTTGTTCAACTTGTATACTGACCAAATAATCTAAGAAGCTGGAATATATGAGGAAAGTGGAATCTGGACTAGAGAAAGACTCATTAACGGTATGTAGACAATACAACCTTGTTTGTTTAAAGTGAAGTGGACTTATAATACTTACTGAAGTTCAAAGACCACACCCATGAGTACAGATTGCACCTCAATGTAAGCAAAGTAAAAATCCTCACAACTGGACCAATAACATCATGATAAATGGAGAAAAGATGGAAGTTGTCAAAGACTTCATTTTGCTTAGACCCATAATCCACACTCATGCATACAGCAGCCAAGAAATTAAATAGCATATTGCATTAGGCAAATCTGCTATACTTGTTGTTATGTGGCATGGAGTCGGTTCCGACTCATAGCAACCATGTACAGGGTTTCCGAGGCTGTTAATCCTTATGGGAGCAGAAAGCCTCACCTTTCTTCTGCAGAACAGCTGGTAGTTTCGAACTGCTGACCTTGCGGCTTACAGCCCAATTCGTAACCACTACGCTATCAGAGCTCCATAAATCTGCTATACTAGACCTCTTTAACGTCTTAAAGAGCAAAACTATCAGTTTGAGCCTGACCCAAGCCAGGATATTTTCAGTAGCCTTACATGAATGTGAAATTTGGACAGTGATTAAGAAAGACCACACAATTGATCCATCTGAGTGTGTTGGAGGAGAATAATACTGAAGGTCCCATGGACTGCCAGAACCAAAAATAGGTCTGGGTTGGAAGAACTAGTTATAGAGTGCTCCTTAGAAGCCAGGATGGTCTAATACTTCCTCATACTTCAGACGTGTTATCAGTCCCTAGGAAAGTACATTTGCTTGATAAATTGGAGGGTCAATGAAAAAGATGGAAACCCAATGGATTAGCACAGTGACAGCAGCAATGGACTCAAGTGTGTGAGGATGACACAGGACTGGGCAGTGTTTCATTGTGTTGTAACAGTGTCATGGTAAAGTCAGCACCAACTGGATGGCACCTAACAAAAATTGGTCTCTAAGGAGTCCTGTTGGCACTGTAAGATAAACACTGGACTGTTAACTGCAAGAGTGGCAACTCAAACCCACAAGCCGCTCCATGGGAGAAAGACGTGGCTTTCTGCTACTATAAAGGTTTACAATCTCAGAAACCTTATGCAGGGTTGCTGTTAGCTGGACTTGACTTGATGGCAGGTTTGTCTTGGAAAGTGGTTTCTATACTAGGCATATTTCAATACCTAAATCTGATGATGTTATCCAGCTGACTTCCTCTGCTCAACAAGCCTGTCCTCATCCAATCACTTCTCTCTGTACTGGCACGCAGGCTTCCTTTCAGGCTTTCCACATGCGCTGTCCTCTACCTGTGATGCTCTTCCCAAGCCCCCTTACTTACCTTTACCTAAACTTACTCTAGCTCATTCTTAGTACCCAATGCATATGACACTTCCTCACAGAAATCTTTTTTGGTGCCTCCAGAACAAGATCAAGTCCTTTCTTGTAGGATCTCAGAGTTGTGTTGCTTTCCTTCTAAGAAATCATTGTCATTTTAATAGTATATGAATTAGTGTGATTATCTGATTAAAGTTTACTTTAACCCACTGGACCGACCTTAAAGCGCCCAAATCAGGGATCCTATATGTTTTTGTTCACCTCAGTACCATAATACCTAGCACAATACCAGACATATAGCTGATGCTCTATAAATATTTGTTCAAAGAACAGACAACCAGGCATGATGCTCTTGGAGATCAAGTTCACTTGGCATACAACTACAGGGAAGTCTATACTACTGCTATAAACACATCCACCAAACTTTCTTAAAGAAAACATCATCAAATCATAACTTAGACCTAATAATGAGCATGTGATCATTTTATTAACAAAAGCTCCATCTATCAGCAACTATATGTCGAAAATCTGTTAAGAACTGGGTTGTAAGCTATTTATACTTTGGTGTGCATAACGAAGTTCCTGCCCTCATTGAGCTTACAAAAACCATTTAATGTCGAACTAGGAGGTGATCTGAAATGTGCATATATATGTGAACTAAATTATGCTGTTCCAGATGATTGGTTAAATTCTACTTTAAGAACCTAAAATTCCTTGGCACTTAACTATACATGTAATATTTTCTCCCATCTTAAGAAAAAAGATGAAAATAACAAATTGAGACTGCTTACTGTATCAAATGAGGCATGTCAAGAAAAGGTTAATTTTGCAATACAACAGATGTGGCGCTGTAACATAAGCACTGGACTGCTAACCACAACTATGCAGTGTTCCTATGAGTTGGAACCAACTCCACAGAACTAAATATGAATGCTCCCAAAGTTTCTGAGAGACACAGGCTTTTAACACAGTTAACTGTTACTAACACGAAGACAACACTATCATCTATGGCTCCTGGTTGCACCTCATTTCAGCTTAGTAATTCTAACCCCCAAAATCCTTCCCCATTTGAAAAAGTCACCTACCTGCAACCAAAACCCAGCGTCCTCCCACCCAAATTAGTAGGCAATTGTCTGGTCATGTTTGAAAGAATTCAAGTCATATATAGAAAATCAAATCCAGTGTCGCTAACACCAGTATGCTAAATGTTTAAATACTGCTTTGAGTAAATAAGGGGCTTTGACGGGTGTAAATCTCTTGATAATCTAAAGTTTCTACCTCATCACTTACTTTAAAATAAACAAAATTAGGCCTCGTAAAGGGCCACCCTGATTTTGGCATGCTCTTGATACGTGAAAGTCACCTAATTTATTTTTAATCTTGCTGTAATATAAATCTTAACCCTGCTATCACTTACTTTCTAATCAACTTAAGTTATATGAACATAACTAATACTCAGTTAAGGTCCTAGTGTGGGTAAGCACTGTTCTGCTAACTACAAGGTCAGTGATTCAAACCCACCAGCTGCTCCTCAGAAACCCTCTCAATACAGGAGCGCTATAATAGCTACAAACTAGCTGGCACTTAATAGAATTCTCACTATCCCTAATAATGACGACTCCGAGGGTCCCCAAAATGACTGACTCTGGAAAACTGTTTTTTAAACTACAGAAATATTTCTAATAAAAGATTTTATGCAGGTTTCCCCAAGTGCTAATGCACAGCTCTTTGGATTTAGACATCAGGCTTGAAAAATAACTCAACACAGGGTTATAAAGGCATACACTAAAAAGAACTGTTCACAAATATTATTGAGTCTTAGAGCAGGAAACATCTTTACCTCTGAACAGAAATTCAGAAGCAAATTTCAGTTCCCAAAGGACTGAATAAGAACCAATAAAATAAAGGTCATCGTTCCATTGTGCTCACCAACTGATAAAAACACGGAGTATTTTCTATATATGAGACACCTGTGCTAGATGCTTTACTTGAAAAACATGTGAAGGATTAAATACTGATTTAATTGTCACAATTAATACAATTTACCTCCATTTTCCAGATGGAAGAAATTGAGGCAAAGAAAGTCAGTAATGTGCCCAAACCCACAATATTTATTATGCTGTTGTTATACTTAAGTCGGGTAGGGTTATGTCCAGTCGGTTCTGACTCATACCGATCCTATATAGTATTTCCAAAGAGCAGCTGGCAGGTTTGATTCACCAACCTTGTGGTTCGAACTGACCTTGCCTTGTCTCTGTTAAGTGTCGTCATGTTAATTAGCGGTTTCTGAAGAGCAGCTGGTAAGGTTGAACCCCGACCTTGCAGTTCAAATGACTTTGCAGTCTGACGCATTAGCCCACAGCACCACATCAGGGCTCCACTTGTGTTGTTGTTGTTAGGTGCCATCGAGTCGGTATCGACTCACAGCGACCTATGCACAGCAGAACGAAACACTGCCCGATCCTGGGCCAACCTCACTACTGCCACCTGACCAATCCATCTCGTTGGAGGTCTTCCTCTTTTTCTCTGACCCTCCACCTTACGACACATGATATCCTTCCCCAGCAACTGGTCCCTCCCGACAATATGTCTGAAGTACGAGAGACGAAGTATGGCCATCTTGGCCTCCAAGGAGCAGTGTAATGTATTATCCTGCAGCTCTACACCAGGCAGAGTCATTTAAAATGCCACATCTGGTGTGGCGCTATAGGTTAATGCATTGGACTGCAAAGTCGATTTGAACCGCAATATCGGTGGTTCAAGCTCACCAGCTGCTCCTCGAAAACGCTATACAAGGTAGCTATGGGTTGGAACCAACTTGACGGTACTTAACAACAACCAAAACCAGAGTCTTTCCCCACTACCCTTCCTTCATAAGTAATGGAGAAATGAACAAAAGTCCTGGGAAGACAGAAAAAAAGGCCTCAACTACTCGAACTGTTATGCAGCTCTTATTATCAACATGGCGCATATTATTAACAAAACGTACCAGTTTAAAATGGGGCAGGGCCTAGAAATAGCTAAGGTACTTTTTCTTTTTCCAGTGATCTCGGCTGCCGGCCTCTTTAGGTCTTCAGAGTTAATTCACTTTCGCCATTCTGATGCCAAACTGGACAGGTAACGATTACTTACTTACAGGAAGGCAAGGGCTCGCTCAGCCTGGGGCGGAGGGGGAGGGTGTCTCTCAAAAACTTAAAAGGGAGACAGGGGTCTTTTGAATACCTCCTTTAGACTCGCCGTCTTGGCGTAAAGTATTCGCTGGTTCCATCTCTTCAGATTTCCAAGACCTCTCCTATGGAGCTGCCCAGGAAAGTAGATATCGATCCTAGATTTCCTTGCTGTAAAAAAAAGAAAAAAAAAGTTGACAACTCACATTCAGACAAACCCGACGGTTGGACATACACCTGTAGCCCCCATTCTCACCCCCACCCAATAGCCCAAGTAATCAAGCTATGACTCCCCTTCGCCAATCCTCCCTGGTCCGAGTGTGTCCACGTCTATTTCTCCGCTCACTGCACACTCCTAGCCAGCTCTCCACCTGGTCACTGTCTCGTCCGTCACTGATTTTAACTTTTTCTTTTACTTCTTGTCTAGCTCAGCAAGACCAAAGATGACTTCCCGCCTTCCTCGTCTCGAAAACTAAGCCAGTAGGTCCCAGCATTCTTAGCGCTCCCGCCGTACAAAAACATGGCGACGCCTAGGACCCCTCTCCGTTCCCAGAATGCACCTGGGAGTAAGCGCAGCCTTTCAGTTCGTCAGGAAGATGGCAACCTCGAGCGCAGAGCCGCAATTCCTAGTACAGTACTTGGTGCTACGAAAGGATCTATCGCAGGCTCCATTCTCCTGGCCAGTAGGCGCCTTAGTAGCGCAGGCTTGTCACGCAGCCACTGCGGCCTTGCACGTTCACCGCGACCACCCGCACACGGCTGCTTACCTTCGGGAGTTGGGGCGCATGCGAAAGGTGGTACTCGAGGTAAGACACACCCCTGAGGAGTAACTCTAGGGACGCCGGGACCGGAAGTGGGTGTGGCATGGCGTCTAAAAGCTTTACTTCGTAGAGGGGGTGTGGCGTCAGGTTTTGGAAAGGTTTCTGAGGCCTGAGTTATTTATTGTCCAGGGTCGACTTGACTGTGCAAGGCTGCCCTGTGTCAAGAGCGAACATTAAATTCGTTTTTAATACACCTCTGTACTCCTCCGGTCTCACTGGAAACTGGTGGCTATTATGGTCTTATAGTAGATGTGTGGGGGCGCCAAGTTGGTGGAATGTGAGCCCCGCTTTTATGCATAGTGGGCGCTTTAAAAACAGCCTTGCCATAAAATACTTCGCGCTCACAAAACCGACCTAGAAGGGGTAAGGATTCAGTACACTATTGCCAGTACAACATTGCACGGTGAAATCAAGCATTTGCCTGGATATGGTGCCAAAATGTATTAAGTTAAATGTTTAAACCCCTAGTATAAATGACCTAAGCACCAGAAATACCAGATGCTACGGTATAAATCGGTACATCTTTTTAAAAACAGCAATAAGGTTCTTACTGAGTGCCTGGGTGGGGCAAAATGGTATGCTTGCTTGACTAGCAAGGTTGGAGGTAGGCACCTGGGAAGAAAGTGCTTGTGATGCACTTCTGATAAATCAGACATTGAAAACTCTTATTGAGCACAATTCTACTCTGACACAGGTGAGGTCACTTTGAATCAGATACCTGGTACTGGTTTGGACTCCCGCAGATCTAAAGACCTCACTCCAACCAATTCTGTGCTACTGCCTGGTATTGATGTAAGCGGAAGTCAGTGCATGGTTTCATATATATATATATATATATATATATATATATATATATATATACACACACACACACACACCACCACCCCCTTCTACCTCTCCCCAAGGATGTCCTCTGTACTAAACAGAAATCTTAGTTATGTTTATTATCCATTTTAATCATAGAATAATATGTGATAGAGTTATGTTGTTGTTAAGTGCCAGTGAGTCGGTTACGACTCATCGACCCTGTGTAGGGTGGGTTTGAACTGCCGACCTTATGGTTCGAAGTTCATTGCTGATCCTACAGTGCCATACCAGGAGTTCAAATACAGTTATAAATAGCTAAAATGTAATAGTTCTTAGACTGTATGAATACTGGAGTCCTGGTGTGACGCTGTAGGGTAAACACTCAACCACAAGGTCGGTTTGAACTGCGGCAGACTGTTCAAATTCACCAGCTGCTTCTCAGACACCATATACAAGATCACTGTGAGTCAGAACTGACTCGACTGCACTTAACAAGAATACTACCAATAAAATTGTTTTGTATAATTTTCTCTGTTGAATTAAGTTACATAGCTAGTAACAGCAGAAACCTTTTTATTTTTCTCCTTTTCCTTTAATTACTACTTCATCCTCAAAAATGTTATTAATACATGTTTACAAATACTAATTACCACAACATTGTAATTAAAACACCAGGAAATTTGATTAAATGAGTAGCTATAAAACTTTACCATAACAATAATTTTGAGGACGGTGCAGGATCGGGCAATGTTTGGTTCTGCTGTGCACAGAGTTGCTATGATTTGGGTCCAACTTTACAGCACCTAACAACAATTACAACATAAAATCAACAGCGGCGAAGAAAACCACAGCTTGGGCTTGTACAATCAGAAAAAACCACGTGTTTGAAGCATCATCGTAATTGGATAATCACGATAGCTCTGTTGTTAAGTGCTGTATAGGCTTTCCAAGGAGCAGCTGGTGGGTTTCAACTGCCAACTTTGCGTTTAGCATCCTAGTGCTTATCTTACAATCCATACCAGGATTCCATTTTTGTTGTTGTTGTTGTGTGCCGTGGAGTCGGTTCCAACTCATAGCAACCCTGTACAGGGTTTCCAAGGCTGTAAATCTTTACGGGAGCAGAAAGCCTCATCTTTCTCCCGTGGAACAGGTGGTAGTTTCGAACTGCTAACCTTGCAGTTCACAGCCCGATTAGTAACCACTACGCTGCCAGAGCTCCTAGGATTCCATTAGAAAGTTCAAAATGTAAGTTAGCATAGAGTTTTAGCCTAACAGGTAAGTTGGGCTTAAAAAAAAGTCTTTGTTATTTAACTTCTGTGAGATTTTTATGGAAAATGATAAATTTCTGCTGAGACACTGCATAAATATTTTATAGATCACCATTTTGGCATCACCTCCTCGGAGAGTGTCACCTGGTACAGTCTGCATCCCCCTAGTGATGACACTGGGAGACATTACTACGGCTCCAGTAGAAGGTAGAGCTGTTGGACTCAATGAATTCAGAGTGGCAATCACCGCATTCTCTAACTGAATATGACAAGCTTCTAGTTATCCTTGTGCCTGCACCTTCATTGGCAAGATGCACTCATACATTCTGTAGAACAACACACTAATTCTCTTTATTTTCTGAGTGATAATTTTAGTACTTCTGTAATGGGATTCAGCATGGTGGCAAGGATGACCAAGAAATGGTTCAGAAGGATATCTGAGAATCATTTGCCTGCCCTTGAGTAAACTATCCCAGCAGAAGGAAAACACTTACGGGCTTGGAGGGGAGTAGAGAGGTAGAGGTTGAAATGATTCTTTAAATGCTAGTAGTAGTCAGCTTTTTTTAGGTCAACAGTTTGAAACTTACCAGCTGTTCCGCAGGAAAAAGATGAGGCGTTCTGCTCCCATAAAGATTTATAGCCTCAGAAACGCTGTGCAGGGTCACAATAAGTCGGAACCGGCTCCATGGTACTTAACAACAACAACAACAATGGCATAGCAGGTTATGCTTTGAGCTGCTAAGCACAAGGTCAGCAGTTCAAATCCACCAACTGCTCCTCCAGAGAAAGAGGAAGGTTTCTGCTCCCACAAAGATTTACAGCCTCGGAAACTCTACATACGTTCCCCGTGAGTTGGAATTGACTTGATATCAGTGAGTTTGCTGTGGGTGAGTTACTCAACTCGTCCAGTCAGAGCTGGCTAGACAATTAGGGATAGCTATTGTGGGCCTCAGCCCTAAGACCCACTACTATTCCGTTGATTGTGATTTATAGTAGCCCTGTAGGACAGACTAGAACTTCTCTTTAGGGTTTCCAAGACTGTAAATGTTTATGAAAACAGACAACCTCAACATTTTCTCACAGAGTGGCTGTTGGGTTTGAACCACCAACCTTGCAGTACCTCCAGGACTCCTTTCAGCCATCAGAGAGTTATACAATGGGCAGAGTGTAATTATTGACAACTCATATAACATCTCTAGAAGGGAGAGAAAAATCTCCATTTCATAAGCAGAAATCTTAAACCTCCTCCCTGCTCTGTTCCCAGGAGGCTTACCTCAGATCCTACAGTAGGTGAATGGTGAGCCAAGGAATCGAAATGTTGCACCTAGAGACATGTGGTAAAGCTATTCCTGCACCTTCTGTCAGAGGGAAGCCCCCTTTAATCAGGCATTTTGACACTTCCAAAATGGACTGTTCAAACTGTGTTCTGTGCTTTGCTCCCTGTAGGCCCCAAATGAGAGCACCTTAAAGGAGCTGGCTGAGACCCTGCAACAGAAGAACATTGACCACATGCTGTGGCTGGAGCAGCCAGAGAATATCGCCACTTGCATTGCACTCCGGCCCTACCCCAAAGAAGAAGTGAACCAGTATCTGAAGAAGTTCCGATTATTCAAATGACAACTGGTATCAATTGCTTTGATCAGCTGGATCCAAGAACGGCATACCACCCACCCCTAAGCACCATGTACTTGGAATGTCAGCTCAGTCTCCCCTTTAAGTTATGACACTGTCTTGAGGGTCAAACACATGTTCAGATTAAAGTTGTCGTTAATGAGTACTTCCTCTTTCTGTGTAGGTGGGGAAAGTAGTGAGCAGCAATACAGTCTGCACATTATTGTTTAACTGGAAAATTTGGTTATGTTCTTACTCAGGGGCCATGGGGGGCTCCCTAGCTCTCAGTGTGGTCCTGCATTACAGTGCATTGTCAACTTCTTTAAAACTTGACATGACCCAACATCTGATAGCTGTGACTACCAGATACACAAACAATGGGTCAGAAAGACATGCTCAGGATTGTTTTTCCCCTAACTAATAACAATACTTCAAATTTTATTCATAAATGAGTTCATTTATCATTTGAAGTGCCTCTTACACTTTAAAGTACCATCATTATATGATTTGATTTTCAGGTTTTATGATTTCACTAAAGTCTGTCTTTACCCCATGACTCCTTCCTTAGTTTCTTGCCTACTGATGCCCTTTCTGCTTTAAAGTCCTGCTAGTACAGCCAAACTCTAACTCATCCCCTTCTCTACTCCCTCAAAACTCTGCTCTTCCTGACTTAATCATGATGACCTGACTCCTGATGTGGCACTGTAGGATCAGCTCTGGGCTGCAAACCAGAAGGTCGGTAGTTCAAACCCCCCAGTGGCACCTTAGAAACCCTATACAAGGTCGCTATGAGTCAGAACTGACACAATGGCACTTAACAACAATAAACAACAACATGAATTGAGTGCCTGCTCTGTGCCAAGTGTTGTACTAAGTGCCTTACATACATTACCCTGTTTGGTCTTCACCATGACCCTATGAGGTAGATACCTTTATTATCAGCATTTTGCACTCAGAATTGAAGCACGAAAAGCTTTAATATCTTGCTCACATAGTGAGTGGTAGAGTCAGGACTGAAACCTAGTCAGTCTGCACCTGGGCTGCCAACCAGTACATAATACTTCTAATTCACAATACATGTGCATATCAAAGTGCTCATTAACAAGTACTTCCTTGCTCTGTCCAGGTTTCTGGGTCATTGCTCAAATGTTTGATTTTTCTAAGGTATGTGTAACTCCCTAGTGTTATTGTTCACCTTACGGACACAGGGTACAGTTGTGGCTGGGCTGTATGGTTATAGTTGCTGTCTCCTGTTGGTTGGGAAAGAGGAAATGCCTTCTTTCCTGTTACCTTGTGAATCTGCTCTGCCCAGCAACCTTCTGTTGCCAAAGCTTCTCACAAGATGGTTGTGCCGCATCTGGCCAGCTGTTCAGCAGCACCGTCTGCTTCTCTCACTGTCACTGCACAACTTCTCCTCCGAGCCAGCATTCGGGCTACTTCTGTAACCTTTCTTCTGAAGCAAAGCATTCCTAAAAGAAGAAGAAAAAAGTAGATCATTCGCTTCCTGATCTCAAAATCTACTACCCATCCACAGTGGTCAAAACAGCCTGGTATTGTAAAATACGACTCATAGATCAATGGAACAGAATTGAGAACCCAGAAGTAAATCCATTCACATATAATCAGCTGATCTTTGACTAAGGGCCCAAATCATCAAATAGGGAAGAGATACTCTCTTCAACAAATGGTGCTGGAGAAACTGAAAATCTATTTGCAGTAGAATGAAACAAGACCCATATCTCATATCGTATACAAAAACGAACCCAATGTGGATTAAAGACCTAAATGTAAAACCTAAAACTATAAAGATAATTAATGAAAAAATAGGGACACACTTAGGGGCTCTAATACATGTAATAAATACACAAGCAAACGTAACTGAAAACAGACGGTGGGGGGGGTGGTCATGTGCCGTGGAGTCGGTTCCGACTCATAGCGACCCTGTACAGGGTTTCCAAGGCTGTAAATATTTAAGGGAGCAGAAAGTCTCATCTTTTGCCAGCGGAACCGCTGGTAGTTTCGAACTACTGATCCTGCGGTTCACAGCCCAATTCGTAAGCACTAAGCAACCAGAGGTCCTTGAAAACACACAGTAGGAAACAAAATAGATAACTGGGACCTCTTAAAAATTAGACACTTATGTGCATCAAAGGATTTCACTACAAGAGTGAAAAAGAGAGTCCACAAACTGGGGAAAAAAAATTCTGGCAATGACATATCAGACAAGGGATGACTATAAAATTTATAGAAAACTTCAATACTGCAACAAGAACAAGGCAAATAATCCAGTTTAAAAATAGGCAGAGGACATGAATACACAGTTCACAAAAGAAACATTCAGGCGGCCATCAAGCATATGAAGAAATGCTCATGGTCATTAGTCATTGGAGAGATGTAAATCAAAGCAACAATGAGGTAACTACATACCCTAGCATTAATAGCAAAATTCAAAACAAAACAGAAAATAGCAAAAGCCGGCAGGGGTGTGTGGAGAGACTGGGACCCTCCTATATAGCCAGTGGGACTATAAAATGGTGCAACCAGTGTGGAAAACCATATGGTATCCTCAAAAAGTTTGAAATATAGTATGATCCAATAATCCCTCTACTTGGCATATATCCTCCAGAAATAAGAGCCATGATACGAATAGATACATGTACATCCATATTCATTGCAACATTATTCACAATAGCAAAAAGATGGAGACAGCCTAAATACCCATAAGTGGAAGAACAGATAAACTTTGGTACATATACACAATGGAACACTATACAATGTTAAAGAATAATGGTGAATCTGCGAAACACCTCATAACATGGATGAACCTGAAGGACATTATGCTGAGTGGAATTAGTCAATTACAAAAGGGCAAATATTGTATGAGGCTATTGTAAAAAGTCAAGAAAAGGTTTTCATGCTAAAAGAAACATTTTTTTGATGGTTACCAGGGTGGGAGGGAAGAGAGACTAATTCACTGGTTAGAGGGTTGTTAAGTGCCATCGAGTCAGTTCGGACTCATGGCAACTCTGTACAGGGTTTTTGAGGGGTGTTTGGTGGGTTTGAACCACTGACTTTGGTGACTAGAGTGACAGGAAAGGCAATGATAAATGACACTGGTAAGGTATGCTCACCTGGAATTAGAAGGAGGGTGGACTGGGAACAAGAATCATAGAGAGGAAGCCGGATAACTGATGTTGCATGGAGGGGATTACAATCTATTGAAATGAAACAAGTGTATGATTTGTATGATTTGTTGAATGTAAAACTGATCATTTGCTCTGTAAGCTTTCACTGAATTCACAATTTAAAAAAAAATGTTCTCTCCAATAGAGCAATTTTGCAATTGTGCTGTACACCCTACAATAGGCAATATATCTTTGGAAAGATTCTCTGATGCTTTGGTAATTATAAAAATTGAATCCTTTTTTTCTTTTTTGAAACTTTTTATTGTGAGTTGAGTGACGGTTTACAGAGCAGACAATCAGTTTTACATCCAACAAATCACACTATTTGTTTCATCTCAATGATTGCAATCTCCTCCATATGAAACAGTGAATAACTTTTTATAATTAGCAAAGTACATCCATACAAGTTAATGAATCATGACAATTTTGTGAAGCAGACGGTCTTGTCTCAAGTTTACAGATCCAGAAAAGCTCTGACTTGCTCAAGGTCAAAATCAGTGTTAAGAGTGGCATTGAAAACCAGTCTTTTGTCAGTCCAGTATTCTCTGGACCTCTTGCAGCTGGTCACTAATTTGGATTTTCCAGCCATCTAGATACTAGTTAGGGGTGGTGCAAAAGGAGTCACACATAGCTCAGGCCCTGGAAAGCTGTGTCTTCCATTCTAAATTGGTTCATTGACATTCTGGATTATAAATCAGCCTCCTGGGATTGTGAGTTCTGTGGCTCTGTAGGACCCAATTACCACTGAATGAGCTGACAAAATCGAGTTTTTGAACTCACCTAGGTCACCGAGTCTCCTGGGACTGGCAGGATGCAGAGGGCTCCTCCAGAGGAGCCTGTTACAATCACCTGTTTAACTGTGGCTTCCTGGACAAACGTCTTCCCTACAGATTCTGTGCTGCCTTAGGGGTGTGCGCTTCTTCCTGCTTACTGGCTGAGAATCTTGGCTGTCATGAGCCATTATTACAATTACTGATGAGAAGGTACGATTGTTGTTGTTAAGTGTTGTCAAGTTGGTCCGACCCATACAGACCTTATATAGGGTTCCCAAGGAGCAGCTGGTGAGTTTGAACCACTGACCTTTAGGTTCAAACTGACCTTGTGGTCCAGCGTATTATCTTGCAGCACCCCAAGTCAGAACCACCACCTCACAAGCTTTAGCTGCTCTTTGAGGTAAGCTTAGTACACTCCCAGTTTCTCCTTTAAAGTCCAGATAAGATTATTGTTGTTGTTACCACGGATTAAGGTTACTGTACCACGGAGTTGATTCCGACTCATAGTGACCCTGCACAGGTTTTCTGAGGCTGTAAATCTTTACAGGAGCAGCTCATCTTTCTCCCACGTAACAGCTGGTAGTTTCAAACTGCTGACCCTGAGGTTAGCAGCCAATTCGAACCACTACACTAACGGATATGAAAGGTGTTGAATAATGGCCTACAGCTGGATTTCAAGGGCAAAATAAGTGTGACTCAAGTTCTGAACCTAGGCTCTTGAGAAACAAGACAAAAAGCAGATGGAGAAACAAAATATCACCTTTATCATGAATGAGTTGGCCAATTTATTTGGTAGTCTAAATGAGCTTACTAATTTCCTATCCTAAGGGAGTCCTGGTGTGCAGTGTAGGATAAGCAGTGGACTGCAAGGTTGGTTTGAATCACAAGATTGGCAGTTCAAATCCACCAGCCACTCTTTGGAAACCGTGAACAGGGTCGCTATGAGTCTGAACTCACTAGACAGCATTCAACAACAGTAACAAGAAGAGAAAGTATAATTATGCAGAACAAATACTCTGACCAACACTGCTGCTTCCTACTGGTCTTG